AAAAGAGTCATGTACCAAAGTGTTCATTGCAGCTCTATTTACAATAGCCCGGAGATGGAAACAACCTAAGTGTCCATCGTCAGATGAATGGATAAAGAAGATGTGGCACATATATACAATGGAATATTACTCAGCCATAAAAAGAAACGAAATTGAGCTATTTGTAATGAGGTGGATAGACCTAGAGTCTGTCATACAGAGTGAAGTAAGTCAGAAAGAGAAAGACAAATACCGTATGCTAACACATATATATGGAATCTAAGGAAAATAATGTCATGAAGAACCTAAGGGCAAGACAGGAATAAAGACACAGACCTACTAGATAATGGACTTGAGGATACAGGGAGGGGGAAGGGTAAGCTGTGACAAAGCGAGAGAGGCATGGACATATATACAGTATCAAACGTAAGGTAGATAGCTAGTGGGAAGCAGCCGCATAGCACAGGGAGATCAGCTCAGTGCTTTTTGACTGCCTGGAGGGGTGTGATAGGGAGGGTGGGAGGGAGGGAGATGCAAGAGGGAAGAGATATGGAAACATATGTATATGTATAACTGATTCACTTTGTTATAAAGCAGAAACTAACACACCATTGTAAAGCAATTATACTCCAATAAAGATGTAAAAAAAAAAACCTAGCAGAAAACGGAATATAAAATTCATCATATTTTTATCAATTTCCTGACTCATTCTTCGTATTAGTTTCTTTTATTGCTAAATTAAAAGTTTAAAGAAATTATCTATTCAGTCATTTCCAATCCTCAAAAATCTATTTCTTCCAGAAAAAAAATGAATGGTAAGCCCTCTTCTCTAGTCAAATTTTAATTTGAACATGGCATTTGACTTTCGCAAAAATTTTAGAATCACAGATAAGCAGAAATTTAGGGGGAAAGGTCATGTGATTATAATTTATTAATCTAGATATTTTCTTAATTGAAGTATAGTTGATTAACAATGTCATGTTAGTTTCTGGTGTACAGTAAAAGCGATTCTTTTCTATTATAGTTTATCACAGCATATTGAATATAGTTCCCTGTGCTATATAGTAGGACATTGTTGTTTACCTACTTTATATGTAGTAGTTTGTATCTGCTAATCCCAAACTCCTATTTTATCCCTCCCTCATATAGATATTTTGTTTCTTCTTCCTAGCTTAGCCTGATGCTTGGTCATTTCAAAAGCTCTTAATTTTGAATCTACCTCTGATTCTCTGAAGTTTTAAAGACAGACTAATAACACACATTTGTCATACCTTGGATTTGGTATTTCTCCAAGAATTTCATCTAATTTGTCAATGAAATTAATAAAATTAGACAATCCTTTTATATGTGTCCTTAAAGGATCAGATGGTGATGGTGCATATCCTTTCCCTCCAAGCTCTATTGTTCTAATAAATGATGTAGCCACCTATGAATTAAAACAAATAATTTGGTTATGTTTAATGATTTAGTAAGTTAAAACTATACCTTATTTTATGAAGCTAGGCACATTTACATATTTCTAGATACACAGGTAAAGAGAAGCACTTTTTATAACTCATGCCACATTTTCATTCAGAAGTAAATAATCAAAGAAACAACTGTTATGTAGAATTCATGCCAGCAAGGGTGATGGCAACACAGGTGGAGACTGAGACTGAGGAGCCAAGTTAGAGACAAATTAAGGGCGTAAGAATATGTTCATAAGAGTATATCATTGTTGGGAATTCCCTGGTGGTCCAATGGTCAGGACTCTGCACTTCCACTGCAGGGGGCTCCGGTTCAATCCCTGGTCTGAGTACTACGATCCCGCAAGCTGCACAGCATGGCCATAAAAAAACAGTATATCACTGTCTATAAAGAATTAGGCAGTGGTATTCTATAAAAAATAAATATATTCTTAAATAGACTGACTACTGGCTACTGGAATTGTTATATGGAACAAAGGGATATTTCTGTATCAATTGTGTTGATTTATTCAAAGTTGAACAATCAATTCAACTCTTCCAAGCCTTAGCTTCTTTATTTGTAAAATAAAGATTTAGACTAGATAATCACAAAGCCTCATCTAGCTTGCACATTTTAGGATCATTTGATCATGTGCAGTTCAAAAGGTCTTGCCTTTACAATGATAAAAATACATATATAATATGATGGCTATACATTAGGCCATCTCCATCAAAGACAAAATGTTCTAAAGCTGTATTTTCCAAAGCATATCCTAAGAAAGGAAAAATCTATGAAACTTAAATAATCTGGGGAAAGTTCCATGGTTAAATAACTTAGGAAATGACAGGTTAAATAACAAGGTTAACTTAAGCAGATTTCTTTATGGTAGGACTTCTTGGAAGAAGTATACATGCATTACATATATCCAGTAAGAGTATACAAGATTTCCAACTTTTTGCCCTTGGAAACATTTATTCAAAGAGCATTGAACAGGAACTTTTGCCTCTGGAAATAATTTATTCAAGGAGAATCTAACAGGGTTAGCACTCCGCAGAACACATGTAGGGTAA